ATAAAATATTACTATATAAAATATTACTATATAAAATATTACTATATAAAATATTACTATATAAAATATTACTATATAAAATATTACTATATAAAATATTACTATATAAAATATTACTATATAAAATATTACTATATAAAATATTACTATATAAAATATTACTATATAAAATATTACTATATAAAATATTACTATATAAAATATTACTATATAAAATATTACTATATAAAATATTACTATATAAAATATTACTATATAAAATATTACTATATAAAATATTACTATATAAAATATTACTATATAAAATATTACTATATAAAATATTACTATATAAAATATTACTATATAAAATATTACTATATAAAATATTACTATATAAAATATTACTATATAAAATATTACTATATAAAATATTACTATATAAAATATTACTATATAAAATATTACTATATAAAATATTACTATATAAAATATTACTATATAAAATATTACTATATAAAATATTACTATATAAAATATTACTATATAAAATATTACTATATAAAATATTACTATATAAAATATTACTATATAAAATATTACTATATAAAATATTACTATATAAAATATTACTATATAAAATATTACTATATAAAATATTACTATATAAAATACATGTAAAGGGTTTATGCTAATATTTATTTATTCTTTAAGCATCTTAAAAAAAACACCTAATTATACATTAATTTAATTAATATTAGCATGTCAATTTATCAGCGGACTAAGCTATTTAAACGATAATAATTTGTAAATTATTATCTTAATTATCTCTACGCTACGTTATAACGCTTATTTTCAATATATAATTAAGCCATAAACAAACAAATAAATAATCATTATCTACATATTGAGCATGAGCCCGTTCTTCACAATGCAAGCATTTAAATCACTCTTACCCTTTCTTGCTCTCTGAATATTACTTCTTGAATATAAAGCACACCCAGTCACATTTTTTTCTTTAGACTTAGAATACTTTAACTCGTATTATTTTATCTGCTAAATCATGTGTAAATTATTCATATCTAAAATTAAATTATTTTTAACGTAAGATTAATATTAAACAAGTGATTCTAAATATAATTAATATCATTAAAAAAAAATACTCTAATATTTATATAATTAATAGATCTATAATAACTAATTATCTAAGAAAATAATTTTAATATGTAATAAATAGTGTATAATTATGCTAAACCTTATGAATCATTTGGTAGCTTGTATTATATGATATTTTAAAATTTTCTTGCGGTTTGGTGATTATTAATCTATTTGTATTTTATTTCTGCGTAGCTCTAACGTTGTTTTAGGAATTATTATAAAATTGATAATTGCTATTGTGAAATTTTTATTAATTATTAAAGCTTTTATCAAAGATTGATAGGACATAAAGATATACCTTTTGGGCTTTACGTATATTAATCCCCTGATAAAAAATATTATTGGTGAGTAAGTAGTATAGTTTTAAACGGGTTCGTTTTGAGCCGATTTTTTTAAAAAACGGCTAACTCAATATCTTAGGCAGCGAAAATATTGCATATGCCTCGAGATTTTGCTAATAGATGTCTAGACCTCTGTACCATCTATGAGGAAAATCTTCAGGTTTCCGTAATATTTTTCTGAAAAAAATATTGAGTTAACCATTTTTATCTCATACTTTCCTAGACCCTTGATTATATATATTTTTTCACTGTCAAAGTTTTCATTTTACAAATCAGTTTTCTAATCCACAAAATCTCCGTCGAATTGTCTAATTAGATACTAATTTTAATATAATTAAATCAATAATTTTAATTTTTTTTTATTTTATACACATATTTTTCAATTATATACTAAAAATAATAACCTTATCACCTATATATTGATAATATTATAAAACCTCCCTTTTTTATTTATAATATAAATAATGAATTTTTTTATTATTATATATTTATTGTATTATAATTAATACTTAATAATTATTTATATATATTTTATAATATATATTTTTTTAAAAAAGTATATTATTTTTATTTATTTATTTAACAACTATTTAAAATTTAAATTATTAAATCTTTTTCTTTCTAGAAAGCTTAATGTAAATTATTGATTCTAATCATAACTATCAATCAAAAAAAATATTTTTTTCCGCTCCAAATCTAATCTAAAATTGTAAAAAAATTAAAAAAATTTATTAATAAAATAATAGATAAGTAAATTTATTAAAATTTTTAATATGCTTTGACATTTAATAAAAACATAAAATAATAATTTAACATTTTTTTTAAAAAAGGAATTAATTTTACATTATATAGTATTTTATTAATAATATAAATGTCTAAAAATAAAATGTATATATTTGAACTGGTACAAGTTCATATTGTGTATTGTGTATTTGACAAATTAAATTATATAATTAAAAACAATATTTCACGATGTATTTAATAATATATAAAATATCATTAGTTATATTATTATATAGATCTAAAATTTTGTTTTGTTGTAAAAGACTCGCAAAATATATTTGTATAAAGATTAGCATATCCTCTTCCCCTTCATAAGCTGGCTCATTAAATTTTTTCACTAAAAAAAGAGTTGTCCCTGTAGCTAATCCGTAAAATATTTTAGAGACTGGGGTAAAACGGGCGGGGTATTTTGCATAGATCAATGTGTAGTCCACCAAATCTCTCATCTAAAAAAAGAAATTTAGTTCTTTACCTACAAGACTTTACGAGTTATAATTATAATTATTTCCAAGAAATGCAATATTTTTTGCCCCTCATACCTTAGGGTAAAATGAGGATCAGAGATAAAATTATTCACAATTTTATTATTTTTTTATTTCAATTTTGTCATTTATTTATGACTCTTAACATTAAACTAATTATAATACAATAAGGGAAATGTAAATAAATTATCGTAATTAGCCCATATGGTATATTTTAATCATTATTCACCTTTGCTACCATTTCTACAAAATTTATTCCGTAAAACTATTTTTAAATATTACTTTTTAAGTCAAAAAATTTTTTTTCAGACCGAATGGACGTCAATATTACAAAAACCTTTGTTTACAGTTTTAACCAGGTGAAGCACATTAACCGTTTTACCCAAAATGATTTTTATTATATAAATCATCTTCATAAATAAATATATTTTGATATTATGGGGTTTTTAGCAATAGGAATTCAAAACAAGAATTTTTGTTAAAAGATAAACATAGGTAAGGAATGTTATATACTATAAATAAAAATACATCCTCACAACAAATTTAAGGTCTTTTGGCTGCTCTTTCCAAATTGAAAATAATCAAAATTTCACACTATTTCTCGGATCAAATCATGGGTCGCTTTGCATTCGCTAGGGCTCGCTCTCTCTTCACAGAAAGCAAAACTCTTTGGGCAAATCTCCTCAGAGGCCCGACCAAAAAAGAAGAAAACTTTCCTAAAAAAATAAACTTAAAATAACAAAAGATAACAATGTCACCAAAACACTCGAAACCAAAATAGGGTGTCCTAGTTCAAAATTTGCTTAGTCTAGGCTAAATAGCATTACATATAAAAAAATAACTTCAACCAGGACATAGTCTTTTTGTTTAAGAGTTAAAAAGTTACTTGCGTTAGAATTGTTACCCGCAACCGCTTTAACCCCTCTCCTCTCTCTCCCATATTGATTAGACTACATAACTTTAAATATTTATAGGTCAGACTAGTTAAATATATTTTACATATGTTATCCGAACCGGGTCAGATCTTTAACAGCGATGAGCTTGAGATACCGGTTATTTATAACTATATCTACTAGGGATTTATATGGGAAATGTAAATGCTAGTGCAGCTTGCTTATAAAAAAAATGATTTACAGAGTTTCTAAAATATTGTGGGAATAAACGATTTATTTTTTAACTTAAAGAAAAAGTATCTGTAAATATATTGCCTACTGGTTACCCATCATCCTTTTAGCAGAACAGCGAAATAAGTATAAAGAATTAATGATAAAATTTTATCCGTGCCTTTAAATTTCAAGCTCCACCCAGATCCTGAGATGAGGATATATCCTATAGGTTTTTATAGATTTCACAAAACCCTGTAAGATATATAGTATTTAAGTGTCTATCCTTTTCATCCCTTATTTTCCCTATAGTAATATAACCTATGGGTCCTATTTGTAAATTAATTTGGACGAAGGTTAAAAAGTTCCCCATATATTTTTTCTTAACTCAAAACATTTCATTTTTTTTTTTTAAATTTAGATATTAATTTCTTAGCATAGATAAATACGTAAAGAATAAAACAAACTTCATTTTAAAAAAAATCAATTTTTTTAATGGACAAGATAACCCTGGTCTCTCTTACATTTATTTGTATTATTTCTGTATATAAATTGAAATTCGGAATTGTAGAGCTCTTAAAATTTCATCTAATACGTTGTTATACCCTTATACTAGTAGACCTTCTCTATATTGCTCATTTTAAGTTTTAGCTATAAATATTATATCTATGCAGCGACAAATTTATGGGATGGTTTCGTAACATAACATATCTCTTTAAACTCATGGATAGAATATAAAAATATCTTACCTATCTATCAAAATATTTTTTTTAAAAAACATTATTAAATTGAATTTAATTTCTACTCTCTTAAATATCATTCTTAATTCTTTTAACAAAGAGTGAAAGCGATTTTCGATGTAAATATAAATTATAAATAGTATTTTTGTATTAGTATGTAAGTGTTTAGAATGAAATTTTTCTTAAATAACCCTAATTTTATTTCCCTAAATTTTTACTTTATTCAAAAAAATTTACATTATGCAATCTATATTAGATATAGGGTATTATCATACTCGTGTTAAAAAATAATTAAAATTGCTTGTTTTTTTGCTATATATATATATTATTTAAATTTCACTTTTTAAAATAATTTTAATTAAAATTTCACATTATTTTCCAACTAATAATATTGAATCAAATTTTTTATGACAGAAATACTACGATTATTACGGACTAGCGAGATCTTAAAACTGATGAGTGGCACAACGGATTCACAATTTAGATTCCGAAGAGTCTCAATCGCTAACGCGATCTTCTTATTCGTCCTGATAATAACACTGACTTTTAAATCGACGGTCGTTAAAGCTCAAGGAAGTAAAACTTTATAACATAATTTCCTAAATATTTATAATTAAAAGGAATATGAAATAAATGAAATGAAATGAAATAAAGCAAATTGAATTTTTTTTAAATATAAATTATTTAAAATGAATATGAAATATAGTTTTATAGGATCATCAATTCTTAAAATAATATTTAATCATATCATATATTATAGTTTAATTATGTGTAATCATTATGTTTTTATTTTTATTTTTGCCTCACTACAACGTCTTAACCTGAGCTCAACCACTATATATTCAAATAGAAAAATATAAATTATAAATAACCGAAAGTACAATGATATCTATCACACACGATTTGTAGATGGTATGTCCACTAAACGGGCTTCAGGCCGGGCCGGGCCTATTTTTAAAAAATATCGGGTTCGGGTTGGGTCTAGCCTAATATTTTTTTAAAAATTTGGGCCAGATCGCGGGTCGGACCTTGTAAATTTTTATATATATATCTTAAATTTATCAATTTTATGTTAAATTTTTTATGTAAAAAAAAATATCTGATTTTATTTATACAAAACTAGACGCCATATAACACATATCTTTTATTTTGATTTAATTATAGAAATTAACTTCTATATTTAGATTAATTCGGGCCGGGCCGGTAAATTTATTTTAAAAAAATTTTGGGGCCGGGCTTGAAAAATTAGGCCCGATGCAAGATCACTAATATCCACATCTAATTTCATTCCTCAAAATTAGTTTGAATATTTAGTATCAAAATTTTATCGAGATATTTTTTTTTAATACTAACTATCACCAATCCTAACATTATTCAAGAGATTTTCAGGAAAAACTGGTCCCGCCCGGGATTGAACCTTAAATCAATTTATGACTAAAATATCCAAAATATGTTTGAGTATGAAATCTGATGTGGATACGATAGTCATCAAATTGAATCGTGTCAAATGTCATTGTTAACTAATCAATATTCATCATATATTGTCATATAGGGGTTAAGCAAATTCATGGCTATGCTTCGTAAAGCTGAGTTTTTAACAAATTTTAAGAAGTTTAAAAAATCATCTTTATAGGCTAGCATTTTATTTTGATTTTCGAAGTTCCAATTTTGTAAAAAAGTGCATACACATTCCAACATGTTGAGTATTAATTTCATACAATTTAGCCATGTATATTTGTTTATCTTTTAAATTTATGAAAAATCCATTAAATAATAATTGAGAATTAAATTCACGGAGGTTCAAAAGTTTATGACAACACAATTATGCAATATTCACGTAAGTAGGTATACACTCTAATACAATGTTGGGATAACGATTTTAGCATTAAAAAATTACTAAAAAACCAAGATTTACCAAACACCCATGCCATGTATTCTGTAAAAAAAAATATATAATATTAATGGACTCCCTAGTAAGAGATTTGAAGAAGAAAAAAAAAACTACTCGAATATGTAGGTAGGATCAGATGTGTAAGTTTATATCGAAAAATGGGTTAATTGAGCTCATGTATGAGACTCCAGCTGACACAAAAAAATAATTTGCTTTTGGAAGCCAAACCATCTTGGAGTCGGCGGTAGTATTGTTGAAAAGTCCGATTCTAATCAATTTTTTAAAAAAACTGTTTGATTTAAAAAAGAAAGAAAGAAAGAAAGAAAGAAAGAAAGAAAGAAAGAAAGAAAGAAAGAAAGAAAGAAAGAAAGAAAGAAAGAAAGATAACCAAAATAACATTATGTAAGCCCTAAAGATTCTTCTCATAGCTGGCAGAAATGCTTGGATATCTATTTGCCAATTCTCGATGCTCACACAATAATTATAGCTAAAATCTTAATCGAGTCATTTTGAAAAAAATAGACACAAATCGGGCTTTTTAAACAACACTAGTCAAGTGGCTCAAGACTATTTAAAAGAATTAGGGTAGAGCTTGGATACTCGGGAATTAATAAACATTAATATTATATAATATATATATATTTTTCTTTTCTCCTGATAAGTTCGCTGTGAACCGTCCAATCTCAACTTGACGGGTTGCGAAAAATTTCTAAACGAAATATGCTTACCGAGGATAGATAACGACTGGGAGTGCGATTGTGAATCAGGCTTCACGAGGGATGTCGCTAATAGGACATTCAATTGTTTAGGTTTTTTTTTTAAAATGTGAATTATAAAACTAAAATTTTTAAGTATAATGTTATTAATATTTGTGATTTATTTACTATTTTGCAGAGTTGTTAAAGGATCTAGATATAAAAATGTGGTATCTGTATCTAGATAGATTTTTGATTAAATAATCTGTATCTAGATAGTATTTTAGACGTTGTATCTGTATCTAGATCCATTTAAAAAGTATCTTTTAACAACTCTGCTATTTTGTAACCAATTCTCGTGCCTTAAGATGCAACTGCTATATTAGACAACTATATCCGGGATCATCTAAAGCTGGGGGAGGGAGGGGTGATGGGTTAAAATCGATTGCTTTATTAAAATCTCCGAATACTTCCTCATGTGGGAGGGAGGGGGGTGGTGCGATCTTAGTCAACATACATACCTAAATATTTATTTTATAATCAAATAGTTCATATATTACCCATCATTGATTGAGGAATCTAACCACATCTTAATAGGTTATTTATTGTTTATGAAATGTACATCAGATTTGGAGAACGCGTAGGGAATAAAGAATAAACCGCTATTTTTTAAAGGTGTAGGCGTATCTTATCCCTTATTAATTTTTTTTATAACTTATGATAGAATCCATCCCACTCACGAGAATAGAAAATAGTTTCAGGAGTAATATCACGGAGGCTACGCCCCCCCCCCCTCCAGTCTCCTTCTCCTCGCTTCGCGTGGAACACTAAATATAATAATTCTCTCAAACATTTTTATATTTTAATTTAATATCTAAATAAATAATTCGACAAACGTGAAGAAATAAAAAGTAGCTACAAATTATCGGTTCATTTTCCGAAGCTAAAATATTCTAAAGATTACAAAAATAAAGTGACCCCTATGTTTATGGAATTCCAAGCCGAGATATGGTTCAAAGTAAATGCTTGCTATTTTTTGCTTCATTTTTATTTTCTTTCCTTCGTATATCCTCTTTTTTACTTTAATTTTGATTGTTTACAAACATTTTTCCTACATTTTATATACAGATTCTCAACTATCTATACACGGAAAACATCCCCATGATAAGCATAGATCTTATATCAGCCATCAAATGGAAGGAACACACAACTGTAGCCATCCTTAAATTTATGTTGCATCAAGATTATCATGACTCAGCTTTACTAAAAGCTATGAACTCTTACTTTACCGCCAATGTGGAGGACAAAAAATTCGGCAATGCTAAGATAGTCTCTATTGCCGTAGATACAGGTTCCTTCTTTAATATAGATATTTTAATGATTTGGCTTATGGGATTAAATCAAAAACCAAAAAAAATAATATAGATTTTATTCTTGTTAAAAACAAAGTCTCATTTTTACCTTTAAATTGCATCATGATAACACGTAAAAATTTAAAATGAGATTCTACAAAGTTTTTAAATGATTGACGTCAAGTTTAAAAGAATACTTTTTGGAATCCACGAGAAAAACCTGATTTGAGCCGAAATGTAATTTCATTCTGACAATTTTTGCCAATAACTGTTCATGTATCTTTTATTTAAAAAAAATTTTTTGTTATGAATAATCTATAGAAATAATTATTATAATAAATTGAAAAGTAATTTTTTTGAAAAGTTCATGACAAAGATTATCTTTAAGGCTTTAAAATGCATACTTTACCTCTCAGTCACATTTGGCGCGAATTTACCATGAAGCATACAATATATGCTGTATTTTTTGTAACACTTCCCCGCAAATTCGCTCTAGATGTGAAAGCAAGGTTATTACGTATACTAGACAATACATTTCCAATTAAAATCACATCTTTCAAAAATATTAAAAATCGCTTATACAGAAAATTATCTGAAATTGGAGTTTATTACCGACTAAAATATTAAATAGGTCGGAAGAATATTTGATTGTAAATCCTTTAAATTGTTAATTATCATGTTTATTTTTTAAAGCTCAAAAAGTGTAATTTTTTTTTATTAAGCCATAATATTTTTGATAAAAATACGATTTAGTATATATATATATATTATATAGATCCTAAGCAATGTTTGATGGGTCGAGATAAATCTGCAAGATGCGCGGATCCTAACGAAATGTGTGACTCCAACAGCAATAAATGTCTTTGCCGAATGGGGAAAACTAGAAATGGCCAAAATGGGATATGCCAAGGTAAATATTTATTATCAAGATGCATAAAAATATATAAACAATTTATTAATATCCGCTTTCAATTAATATACACATTATTTAGATATAGAAAGGCAAATGAATTTTATTATGTCGATTCCGAATATTCCATATGATTCCAATTTCCTGAGCGCTGGCAATTTCGTGGTGGAATCTCAGGTTTTTAAGAAATCTTTTTTCAAAATTGATTTTTTTTATAATTTAAAAAAAATACAAACAAATATTGATAGATTTTATTTTGTTATATACTTTAATAAACCAAAAAAAGAAGATATTAAGCAAAAAAAGAAATAATTTGGTTTTTAGTTTTACCTAGTGTTGTTTAAATGGCTCGATTTGAGCTTTTAACCCAGAAAAATATTACCAAAGCCTTAAGATTTTGCTAATAGATGTCCTAGATGTCCAAACCTCTGTGTCACCTATGAGTAAAATCTTCAGGCTTCGTTTGACAACACCAGTTTGTATCCTTAGATATATGGGTGAGGTGATTAAATAAAAAAAATTTAAAAATTTATATAAATTTTATATAGGACATAATTTTAAATAAACAATTTATATATTCGTATATCAAAAAAAAAGTTATTCAGCATAATAACCCATCAATATCCAGACGTGATCTCCCTCAAACTCAATTCGGTCATTCCCGGAACTAAGGGAATTTTGGCAGAATTTTCGGTATTCTTGTCACAAAATATAACGGTTCAAGATATGAGGAACGCCATAGAAGCCGCCATGAGAGAAAATACGAACCTAGATAATTTAAGCGAATCCATAGTGTTCTGGGTCGAAGGTTTTTATTTATTTTTATATAAATCGCCCCTGAGAATAAAAAAATTTCATCTACACTTTTTTTGGCAATTTTACAGGAGAGCAATTTTTTAAAAAAAAAAGAAAGAAGTCTCTATTGTTTTAAATAGGATGCTTAAGAAAGAAATAAAGTAAGAAAGAAAGAAACAAACCAACAAACAAAGAAGGAAGGATTTAATTTGAGTTATTTTATAAATATTTCTAATTTTTTTTTAATGTAGATAAAAATTGATTTATATAAAAAAGGTCATTTTTGACAAAAAGTGGAGATAGAATAACCTAATTCTCAGGCGAATATACATGTACTCTATAATATTTGAGACTGAACCATTGAACAGGATATCCAAAAGAATGAATAAATAAGGGGATTCGGTGTGGGCTCTTCTCTTTTTTACAACATCATTTTATATATATATATTTAGTAATCAAATAGTATATTTTGTTCTCTTTCTGGAAAGATTTGACTCTCTCATGTTCGATCAACGAATGTCCCATCGATTCTGTGTGCGTGATCACGAAAGGCCGAAAGATTTGTCAATGTCACGGAAAGAAAATTGCTAATTCTTATTCTGGGCAATGTGAAGGTTAGTGTCGTTTTTGATTCATCTTCTTACTTTCTTTAAGAAAACACGATGTCATTTTTAATCTAATCCTCTTTTCAATGTCAAAGAGTTTGGGAAGTATTTCACGAGAAAATTCGAACTAATAACTAGATAACTAAAAAAAAAGTAAGTAAATGGGATTACGATTTAGTTTGTCTCTTAAACAGAGAAAAATATTAAATGATACTAGTTATAAGAAACCCAAGGCTTCCAGGACCTAACCCTTAAATAAGGAAAGAATTTTGATATACAATCCTAACATCTTTCATTCATTTTATTCTACAGATTCCTTGCACATCTACACGGCTTTGATAGATTTCAGTATCCCATATTTATCCAGCTACATGGATCCATATTCTGACCATTTTTATACCCTGGCCAAATCGATAGAGATGGAAGTTCGTATAGCCCTTTTTCCCCCTAAAATAATTTTAATTTTAATCGGAAAACTTAAGATAATACTATCTGTAGTAGAGACCCAATAATTGCTTGGTTTAAATGGTAAAATATTTTTTCTTCTCTAGCATAAGGCTAACTTTTCTTACTTAATTCCATCACTCCCCTTATATGATAATGTAGAGATTATAATGTTTTACACAAAACTACCATAATTTAATCTTGATTTACCACTTTATTTTCAAGATATATTCGATGCTATCTCTTAACGATACCAGTTACCACGCCGTCAAGGTGCAAACCATATTCCCTGGTATCAAAGGCACATTCTTAAAAATAAAATTATATTCTACCTTTCATTACCCGGCATCTGACATAAAAAAATATTTGTCGTTCGTCGCTGACAGCTATAATCTAGAAAATAATACTTTCTTAGTGTCTTCGGCGTCACTCCTAAGATCGGCCAATATCTTGGATATAACGGGTATATTAGATATGCATTAAATTTTATATATATCAGGAACCAGTGGAGGTATCTTATTACTACACTCGGCCCGGTTAGGCTACCATTTTTTATTTTCGATCAATTTAAGGGGATAGCCACGCAATTTTCTTTTTTAATATGGTTATTTTGACTGTATTTTTTTGCTCATTGTTTCAAAGGGATTAATATGAGCAGTAAAAGAAGAAATATTAAATGCTAAATTATATAAATTTCCAGCTGATTTAATGAGCAATTTATTTTTTAGAGTTTGCCAAGGGGTTTATTTTTTTAATTACAAAAAAATGCACCTGCTTTGTTCTAGGTCATGTAGGTTCTCCGATATATGTATAATCTTTCCTCAAATATTATATCCACATCATAAGAAAACAATGATTGCATCCAAAACTTTAAAAATATAATAAAACCTCTATATTTTTTTTATAGATTCTCATCGATAAATTCATTCCTATACAATGGAAGAGGCAGGCCTAAATAGTTTTTTTTAGTTGTTGTTGAGGCATTTACAAGAAAAATTTTAAGTCCAAAAATTGTTATCCCTAATTGTATCTTCACGTTACATAAATTAATATGATATATATACTTTTAAATATCCATCCTTTAACCGCACAACATTTTAAAGACGAAAAGGAAGATGAGGATCAGAATTGTGATCTGGATACTAATGAAGGTTGCAACATTTCTAAGAGGTTTGTCTGCATTTCTATTGACAATCGAGTCAATAGGTGCCGCTGTCCAGTTGGGTTGGTGAAAAATTTCGTGACGAAAGAATGCGAAGGTTTATATTAATTAAAGTTTTATAAACTAAAAAAATGCTTACTTTCGAATATTGAATGTTTTAGATATAAATTGAATTCAAAAGTTAACTTTTTTAGTAATATAGGATGCTAATCGCTTAAAATATAATACATTATAAAAGTACCACATTCCAAGTTTTACATCGAATTACTACTTCAAATTCCTTGGTCTCAGGCTTATCAAGATACAACCAATGATCAATACAAATTTTTGACTCAAAAGTTCGAAAATGAGGTACATTAAATTTGTAAAAGATAGCAATATTTTTTTGCGATTGTCATCGATAATTTTATATTTTTTAATCCTAATCCTGCAATCATAGTTAGCTCGAATGTGAATGCAGGGTAACTCATTAGGGTTTTTCAACCCTAACCTCGCTTTAGAGGCTAGCTTCAGGAAAATATAGGCACAGCTGGGAATTTAGCAAAGAGATAAAAAAAAATTTATAATTATAATGGTTCAATAGCTACCAAAACTATCCGGTGAATACTAAGATCATAATTAAATTTAAAAAAATAAATAAAATAAATATCGGGGGAAAAATAAGTTCTTCGCCAAATTGCTAGAGAAAGAAGCTAATCTGATATCCATCAATCTTGATTCCATCATGCCATCAGCATTTTTCGATATCAACAACGAATTTTTGTCCTTCATCGGGTTTTCTGTCTATTTCAACAAATTTATTGGTGATTCACCCCCAAGCGAGCTGAGAGGCGCCTTCGAAAAGGTATACGATTTACTCTATTAGCTGGGACTATGAATATAAAGCTTTTATATTTATTATTTAGTATACATACATAGGATAAATTATTAAATAAATATAATTATTCTCTAATATATTTTCTCTTATCATAAAACTTGACCAATACTTTACATCAATAATTGAACTGTCGAGTGTATAAGCAAATTTAATGTGAAATTTTTAAAATGGCCCATTTAAACATTGAAATTCGAATAGGCTTTTAGGCTTAAGAAAATAAATTTAAGAAAGCGTTTTCATTATGATATTTATAATTATTATTAATATATCAAAATAAATGATAACTTTAAAAATAAATTTAGGTAGTCAAATTGGCGCTTAAGGATACGTACCCTAAAAATTTGCTCTTCAAGAATAGTCAGTTGATGAGTTTAGAAGGTTTAAAATAAGAAAAAGAAATATTTATAATTATTTTAACAATATAATACATAATTATTCATCTTTCCCCTCGAAGCTTATGTGAATTTATTTATAATTAGGAATAAATATCTTCAAAATTTCATTTAAAATAAAGTAATAAGAATTATACTTACCTTGACGAATTGTTTTCATAATTTTCACAGATTTTGAAATGGGAGTGATGTGTTAGGTTTTACGTTGCAAAATTCTTACTTAGTCTGTGTCTCTCTGAATATTCTCTATTTTTTTAAAGATGTGATTTTAGTTTAAGGTAAAAAGTAATACTAAAGGTTTTTTTTATCTTTCTAACGCTTGAACTATTATTGGAAAGATGTCAATTCTTATATTTTATTTTTATTTTTTTCAAAAAAATAAGAAATAAAAATTATAATCAAAATAAATCTATGTGATAAATTTGAAATTTCAAAAACAAAATATTCCCTCGAATTTTGAATTCAGAACTAATTTTTAGCTAAGACTAAATTATCAATATTCGAAATCTAATTTTGTATATTAATATTATTAATTAAATGTCCAAGTTGTTGCATAACTTAAATTAGTAACTAATTTTTTATTAACTAAATTTCGGAATTCATAGGTTATTCTAGTGTTAAACATTTTGAGACGATTTTTAAAAACGATTAACTCAATATTTTAGCCAAAGTAATATGGCCTAAGGCTCCAAATTTTGTTGATATATCTAGCCCTGTGTGCCATCTTTGAGCAAAATCTTCAGGCTTGAGCAATATTCTGGATATATCGAGTTAGCACTTTTTAAAAATCGGCTCAAATCGAGCAGTTTAACAACACAATGTTATTCGTATAATAACTTTAAATGAACACACATGAGTTATCTGAATTGATGGACAATACAAATAAATTAGTTCACTATAAGATACGAGGTATTTAAATAAAAAATAAATTTCAATTTTACACTTATCGCTTTATTAATTAAATAGGTATATATATATACCTTTTAACGTAGCCTAATTCTTTTTTCATATTATACTAAGTATTCATCACTATACATGTATTTCTTTAAAAAACGAAACTAAGCCTCCGAAAAAGTGTATCTATTGGTATCTAAAAGTAGTTATGCATTATTTTATTTTGGGAGATTCTCTATCATCCCTATGTATTATAAGTATCTCTTACAATTTTATGATATAATATATGAACTAATTATCCTTATATTTTAAATCTTGTTTTTTATTTATTTTATAATAAAGGTTCTTACAAAAACTGTGTTCCATCGTTCGACGATAAAAACGTATGCCAAGCAACTGAAATATGTTCATCCGAGGATAACACATGTGAATGTCAAGTTGGTTATGACAAAAATTACCTAACCGATATATGCGAAAGTTTTGATATATTTTATATTAAAAATTTATATTATGACAAGTCAATTTTAAAGAAAGAATTTTTATCAAATAACGAAAAGAAAATGCTCTTTTTTTTTAAATATATGTGATTAAAAATTTACGAGATAAATAATTAATCGACTTGATTTAAAGTCCTAATGACAATTATGGAAAACACTATATATTTTAAAAGAGGCTATAAATGCAAACTCAAGTATAATAATCTCCATAAAGTCACAAGATGACTATTCAATTACTTGTTACTCTTTTGGGGAATCCTCATATTGAGGTGGTAAATATATAGAATTTTTTGATAGGATCTTTTGCAGGGAGAGGGTCAAGATAAGGATCTAATCATCAAGAAGAGATAATCACCTTTGATGGTTTCCATTAAGCATCTATGCCTAATAAAAAAATAATTATTATTATATTCGGGAAATTTATTGTATTTTTCACCCTCAAACCCATGAAACAGAAATCAATTCACAATACCAAGTTCTCCTAACGTTAGACATTCCTTTCATCAAATCCTTCGCTAGCCCTAGAACTTCTGACTTCAAAACCCTGGCTAGGATCTTGGAAACCGAAGTATATACTCATCATAAATCGTCTTTACTTACATCCCTATATTATATAAATAATCCGATTTTGGTTATAATCTCTCTATTTTAATCAGAGACCTGCGGGCCCGATTCTAAGCCCAGCCCGACCGGGCCTCGTATTTTAATTTTTGTAAAAATCTACTCAGGCCGGGCCGGATAGAAAGAAAGTAAGAAAGAAAGAAAGAAAGAAAAAAAGAAAAAAAGAAAAGAAAGAAAGAAAATATCTTTAAAAAAAATCCGGGCCTGGCTTAAAATACATAACCCGGAAAAATGGTACCTCTTGTTCTTCGATTTTTATTTTTCCCCTTATCTCGTTACAAATAAAATTTATATCATATTTTTTTTATGGTTGGTTTTATTTTCGTTCGTATATATAAAAAAAAAATTTGTTTTTATACTTATATGTATATATGATAGGGTCAATGTTATTTTCTTCCAGCAATGTGGTATTTTTTTTTCCCCATCTTTAGATAATTTATCGAGAGGAGAGTTTAGTGTTGTTAATAAACTGCTCGATTTTAGGGAATTTATCAAAAACGGCTAACTCAATATTTTGGATTGAAATATATTAAAGCATAGAGACGTCGCTAATATGTGTACAAACCTTTGAGCCCCTGTATGAATAAAATCTTCATCTGGATAAAATATTGAGTTAGCCGTTTTTAAAAACCGGTTCCAATCGAGACCTATAACAACACTAAGCTAGTTTATTAATCTCTCAAAGATCCGTTTTAAGAACAAAATGTATCAAACAATTATACTATGAAACCACATTAAAAATGACTCTAAGGTTTACGGCAGAATTCTCTGAAATTTATAAGGCAGCTAGTCCACACATGCTGGAACATACTTCGAGCGAATTTAGAATTTTTAAATTAATAAACTCGTTGAATAAATGTAAGTAGTGTTTTTAAACGATTCATTTTGAGCCGATTTTTTTTTTAAAACGGCTAACTCAATATTTTATCCAGAAAAACGCGGCGCAAGCCTGAAGATTTAGCTCATAAATGGCAGAAAGGTTTGGATATCTATTAGCTAAATCTCAAGGCTGGGGCAATATTTCTCAGACTAAAATATTGAGTTACCCGTTTTTAAAAATCTGCATAAATTGAGGAGTTTAACAACACTAAATGTAAGGGTAAATAAAAATTACACGTTGGGGGGAGAAAACGCATTGACCCTATTATATTAATATTTTGTGATTAAAAGATATATGAGAGTATATATTTTAAATTTATACCTTAAATGAGGGCTTAAACTGTGATGAAATCAATTTTTATTATAAATTTAACAACTTTTTACCTTTTGTACCGCAAGTATATATATATTTTACAAAACAAACAATTAATCGTCGTACACAATTAATAATATATATATTTTAAATTCATCATATATTTAATTGCCTTTGAGGCTAATTGTTTCTATTACATAAACATATAATTTATCAGCTGAATAGACACCTATCGGAAAAAAGTAAATATGCCTATATAAACTGCGACATCGATAACATGATTCCACTAGGAACTGAACATCTTATAGTGAGCTCCATTTTGTCTTTCAAAACAGGGATGTCCTTCGATTTTGTCCTGAAAAATTTGGAGATATCGATCGCGGAATCACAAAGCCTCAAGCTTCTATCTAATTCCGAGATTATTCTTTTGACCGGTTTTTTCTTTCAAAATAATTATAATTTTAATTAACAAGATATTGCTATATTTGCATCTTAACTTACAATAGTTTCATCCTCGTTAACTCTCTAATATAGGTAATTTTGTATAAGTTATTACAAAGGGTCATTTTCTCTTCTCTTCTCTTCTCTCTCTCTTCTCTTCTCTTCTCTTCTTCTTCTCTTCTTCTTCTTCTTCTCTTCTCTTCTCTTCTTCTTCTCTTCTCTTCTCTTCTCTTCTCTTCTCTTCTCTTCTCTTCTCTTCTCTTTAGGATTAAAATAAGTGGAATTTTACAGCGTTAATTGATGAGAATTGTAAATAAAGAGAATAAAGGTGGGTAGGTATTGGTTTACTTATTTTTAGAAAAGTCTTTATAAAATTTAAATCATTTACAGCGAAGCCTCTTAAAAAATAAATAATGATAATATTGTTAAAAATCAAGATCTGTTAAACCTAATGAGCCTCTGACTATATAGAATTGGAGGTCTGCAATAGGAGGGTTAGTGATGTCTTTATTTTTATAAAGTTCAAAATATTATTTTCTTATATTAAAAAATGATGATTAAACACCTATTTTATTAGAAATATCATGAATTAACGATAACCAGTATTACAGTATTTAATGTTGTCGTTTAATTTCTAATGTGTTCGTTAAAATTCAATTATCATAATAACATTTCCCAGCGCTTATATTAATTTAAATAATAATTTAAAGTATAGTAATCCCCCTTTCTGGCCAAAAATGAATTTTATTTTTTTAAAAAATCTACTTTAATCTTTCAATATCAGGACCTCCTAGTTACTGTTACGATTTCAAAAATAACGGGGGTTGTCAAAACATGACAAACTCTGTATGCACGCCAATCTTCGCTTTCTCTCAGGGTCAGAATATGGATTTCGGGGAGTGCAAATGCAAGTCGGGAACTTACAATTATCCTATAACGGAAACTTGCACGAGTGAGTCGTCGAAAAGAATATATTAAATAAAAATCGGCCTATCATTTAACATTGTACACCAAAACGAATTACAATTAAAAATACCAGGGTTTCCCTGAGAAGAGCCCCTCTTAAAATTTTGAAATTTTACTTGATACCACTAAAAAAGAAGGTATTTTAGATTGTGTTAGCTTATACAAAAAAAAAATGATGATAATTTTGAAAATAATTTTTAAAGTTTTTTTTTGATCCCCCCTCCTGGTTTTAACACGTAAAGTATATATCATTAAACGAATTTAAGGGTTCGATAATATATTTTGTATAGTTGGAATCATACAATTTAAAGGATTTAAAATAAGTATTTTGCGAGCTTGTAAAATGATATTTTATGAAAAGTGCTATATATTATATTGCAACTTGAAAATTTATTAAACTAAATAATTCTTGTCAGAAATTCAAACATCCTTGAGATTCGGTATCAAAGTATATGGGAAAATTTTAGAAGAACTTAAAAACAAAGCTCACCACTCCTTTCAACTCTACAAGAAGGCATTTGACATAACGGTATACCATTAATTTATAAAAAAAAATTAAATCTTTAATTTTTAATTTTATTAACCACTTGCAAAGTAATTTCATTTTTGTTAAAATAAAATTCCTTTTAATGCTACGTTAAGAAAATTTCAATGTTAAAAAAATAAAGATATAATTATCACTTTTAACACCGCAAACGTTTTTTTTTAAACGCAGCGTTAAGGTAGAAGAGGATAGGCTATTCTTTCAAATGTTTTTTGGTATTTGTTTTAAAAAATTACTATTATAACTTTAAACTACAAATAAACCGAACTTTAGTAAAAAAAACAGCTAAAGATTTTGTAAGAGAAATTAATTTTTATGATATAGTTCTAGTAGTTTTTCATCGTAAGTTTAAATTGAGCTAAATAGTGTTAAGGGTATACAGATGCAGACTTCGATAAATATAACAAGTTCACAATTATTATATATACACTGAAACTAATTTTTGTTTTTTAGTTATTCGACGCGTTATACTCCGATGAACCCGACATAATTGGAGTTTCTTTGATAGATATAAATCAGGATCCGAACAGGAAAGACCGCCTAGTAGACGCAATGGCAGATCAAGATCTCAAATACCTCCTAGATATCTATTTCGGTAATTCGGAAGTCAACCAGACCCATTTCATTGAAAGTTTTAGATTATTGATGAAAAAGACGAAGTTTCCAATGTTCAAAGATGGTTCCTTCGATAGCATCAACAGTAAATGACGAATTCGCATAATTAATATTTTCTAGACCCTTTATTTATTTTTTTCTACAATCTTTAAAAAAAATTATAATGCAATATTGATATCGTTTAAAAAAAATAAACAAATCAGATTTGAGTTATATCGATTACATGCAAGTACTGAAACTTGAAGAGTCCTTGTGGAGTGTAGAAAAAACGACCTCCTTTGTTCTACAAATGGTAAAGCACGAACCGAAATCCTCCAATAAAAACGTTAGGCGCACAACCAATCCTCATAAATTGACTACTACATTATACCATATGCCAGCCTTGAATTTTAGAGATGAGACGCTTTGGCTGGATAACACCAACGGTCTCGTCAATTCTAATCTAACTGTCGTAAATAATTCCGATTTCCAAAATCTGTTGAGTTCTTTACTCAACGCAGAAGGAATCAACAATGAACCTGGCCAAGAAGAAGATAATGTGTACAATGAAAAATCAATGGAAGATTACCTAGAGGAACTTATGAAAAATGTGACTAATAACACGGCTCATGGTTTAAATGGTATAAATACCTTTATAAGCGGAAATCTTAATGAATCTCTCATAAAAACATCTGTTAAAGAATTTGATTTCCTTCGAGATGTGCCTATCACTATATCTAGTAGGAAGTCCGTTAGAAGCCAAACAACAAAGATTTCAGCTTTGAGAAAAGGTGTCACGATTAATGGAAGGCCCAAGTTAATAACTGCGCCCACATCTAAAGTCGTAAAATTATCTACTTCAGATATATTTATTAAGGTTGTTAAATCTCACGCTGCAAAAACTCCTGGAAAGATCAATAACAGTATCCCTAAAACTATGCTACAAAAACAATTATTAACTGCATCCAATTACATGAGTATGAAACCACCGAAACTCATATCCGGAGGAGCTAAAATTTCTCTTAAGCCAATTACGAGTATTCCCGCCTATAAAGCACCTACAACCAGTCATTCATTAATTGATATGATATCAAACTTTGAATCAAAACACACCAAAACACAGAAGGTCCGAAACGTTACCAAAGGTTCCTATACCCCTAACAATGTTAACGCTTCTATAATTTATTTATCGAGTTCCAACGAAGATAAAATTGGTAATAGCATTGAAAAAGAGGAAGTCTTAGACAAATACCCATGGGCCATAAAACAGATTAGCGGTAGTTCGACATCTCGACCATATGTTACATCGGCAATTTTAATTTCAACAATATATTACTTTGCTTTACATTATATATAATTTTTTCACAATACCCATTATTGACTTAAATTCGTAGTTAAATAGCGGTTTACAATCTTCTATCCTTTTTAACAAAAAAAAACAATCTTACGACAATGCATTTACATGATATATAAAAGATCTTGTTTTACATGTTTATTAAATGATATTTAAAGTATGCACATATTGAAATCCGACTGAAAGGTATTTAGACGAGATGTGAAAGACATTTAAACGAAATGCCTTTTAAAATGACATTTAGTTACAGCTGATTTCAAAGCATGTACACTTTTAATAAATGAATTGTCATAATGTAGCATTAATTTTTTTGGTTGCGAGTATCCTAATTTATTTATGTATGTATGTAAATTTCATCCAAATCAAAAAAAAACACCAAAGTATTTTAAATATAATTGAGTTTATTCGAATTTATTTTATATAATTTTGCGAACGTATGTGTTATTTATTTTATTACATTATTTATAATATATATAGATATATATATCAGTTTAATATAACATTCTGTAAATATATACTTAATAAAAATTCTAAAAAAAATTGAAAAGAAATTATCTACTGATAAAAATTTAAAAACAATTTTATTAAAAGTAGCCAAAGTATAAGCAGTAAAAGAAGTTCTTCAATTTATCGGAAATTTAAGAGAATATTTTTTGCTAAATATAATAAAGAAAGAAAGAAAGAAAGATATATTATTATACTAATTAATTCAGCAACAAATATATACTTTAAAAAAAGATTACTATTAAATTTCCCAACTTACTCTGCATTCCTAGTGGGATTCGATTCGAACGATTTAACAGCTGGTCAATTTTCAAAATCAGTTTATGAGATCCATTTTTTCAATATTAAAATCAATATTTTTTTTTAGATATTATCCATGAATAGAGTTAAAAAATAAAATTGTCAAGATTTCAAAAAAATGAATCATAATCGCATCGGATCGGGATTCCATTATGAATGCCGCCTTAATTCGATTCGCGGCGAAGTATACAAAAATTTATGTAAAATTATTACATTTAATATCATATTTTGCATACTCTACCGCGAATTGGCGCTAACTTTGAAAGCAGGGGTTGTGTATAAATATGGTTATATATCAGAGTTGTTAAAGGATCTAGATACAAGTATCTAGATCCTGTATCTAGATATAAAAATGTGGTATCTGTTTCTGTATCTAGATATAAAAATGTGGTATCTGTTTCTGTATCTAGATATAAAAATGGGGTATCTGTTTCTGTATCTAGATAGATTTTTGATTAAAATATCTGTATCTAGATATTATTTTAGACGATGTATCTGTATCTAGATCCATTTAAAAAGTTTATTTTAACAACTCTGTTATATATACACTTAGAATTATGGATGAAGTGTTTTTTTTTCTCTGAGTTTGTGTGTGATTCGTAAACTTCTTATATTTAATTACCAGACCAGAATAAAACCCGCGAAATTAAACTCGCGTAAAATTAGGAAGAAAAACTCGAAGATTGGTGACCGGGGTAGCCCTCCCTTTTCCAAAAAAAAAATGGGAAGAGAAGGAAAACGCTTAAAAAATGATCAAAGTTCTCCTCGTAAATACTATATTAGAATATTTAAAGTACAATCTAATTTCCATTTAGAGAGAAATTAAACTAAGGTAGTATAAGGATTTGCAAATTAACTGGGTTCTAGGATGAGTGGTGTTAGACCTATTTTTAGTTTATATTAGTTAATAAAAATTTGAATTTTATATAGGCAAGGTTTTTTTTAAAAAAATTTTAATGTGTCAGACAAAAAAAAAGCCGTTATTTATCTGAATTTCATGGGAATTTATAATAAATTATACTTAGCTTTTTTTAGAATAATCATTCTTTTTGTCGCATTATATGATAAAGAATATAGGTGTTGAATAATAAAGATTAAAAATATTTGGTCATAAGCCGTCGCTTAGATTTCGACTAGAAAGTAAATTAGGGAGTTTGGTTTACATAAGTTAAAACTAAAGGGCCTCGCCAATTTCTGTACCATTAAAATTGGATAAATAAGGTTATTTTTATAGATGAGCATTATTCCTCTAGCCATAATGCATAACGAGCTTAAAAGTAAATAAAATGCACTCCGAGCTTTATTAAAAAAAATAAAATGAAAATTTTTTTTATTTATTATTTTCCATACATTCATGATCTAAAACAATTAAATTTTACAAAAATTGGTTTGATACCTGCAATGGATTAATCATATTACAAATCCTTTTTTTGGTTTTCTAATATTATTTCTCTTTTTATGTGTTTAGCGAAAACGACCTTGAAGAAGAAAAAAATTCATTTAATTTTAAGTGCAATTAAAAACAAGTAAGTCATATAGAGTTTTGCTTAATGCACAAGGTAAATTTATTTATAGTGAAGCGGCATTTGCTTTTGTTAAATAAAACTTGTAAAATAAATCAGCTCTGCAGGGGGAATTGAAATTTCAAAGACAATTCTTATTACTTATTGTAAAATAACGAAATTAAATTTTTTTTTTCCTTTCTCCCTAAATTATATTTATTCGCCGCAATATTTTTTTTTATCTTTAAATAAGTATATAGAATTTCTTCGTCTAGTTTAAAATTTATATTCGTTATTGTACTGTAAAGTAACTGTTAATTTATATAATCAGATACTCTTTTATAAAATGATATTTCTTTTTAAATCAACTTACAATTTTTTTCTGATACTGAGGATCGTGATACCTCGGAACATGGCATTGATAGCGAGCAGGGATTCACTTTCTTTTCTTAACCATAGCCTTATTTGAAAGATAGGAAATTTATTTTAACCCTTTCAAAAAAAAAAAGATAATTGAAAAATAAATAAATAGATGGGAGTCGATCTCTCTTACATACGCTACTCTACGGGCATAACGTATGGTATACTAATGTCATTACAAATAGGGTTAGGATTGATAGGAAATTTTATATATTTTTGGTGTTTATCCAAAAATAGAATAATTAGCCACCCAGAACCATCAATTCCACTCACCAACAATATTAATTTTATCGATACATCCAATGTAAATGCCAATAGAATTATACTGAGACGAGAAAGGCGCTTTAGATCAAATTTAGCGCGACCGAATATTTATTGGTATATAGAGACTCTGACAATCTCCAATTTTATATTCTGCGTCAACTCAATCATATTACGCCTCATTTATTTCGTATGTTATAATAATTGTGGCGAATCCTATTTCTTTACTTCATATTCATTTTGGATTTCCCTTTAATGGAGGGCTTAATTAATTTTAGCTATATATTGAAGGTTTTTATATCCCTGGATCGCCTTTGGGCACTAGAATTTCCTTTTTCTTACAAAGCTATGATGTCCAACTCTTTAATCAGATATTTAATGATTCTAGGTTTTATCCTAAGTTTTTCAGCTGCCATTCCTTAGGTATGGAGATTTACTATAATCGAGGTTAAAGAAAATAAAACAACTTCGATTAATCAGTTGTTGTTTTCCAAAAGCATGTTGTCTGAACCTGTTGATTTTAATTTAACGGAATAAGAGCGCCAAGAATTATTCAGCAATACCATATCTAAATACGAAAAAGATAACCATTAAATATATCCCTTCCCTTAACCCCAAAACTCCTTTGTTTCAGACTTATAGAAAATGGATTACCTTTATCGTGCCATTCATTCCATTTACGATATCATTATTTGCTAACTTTTTTATAATTAATAAATGTTATAAAATTTCCCAAAATAGAACAAATTTGAGGAGTGGCAATGAGACTGTTGCGAATACAAAAGTAAACCCTATAATCAAATGGCTTAATAAAAAGGTGTTCAGACAAAGGATTCATAATGCGGGAAATATGTAAAATTCTTTACCCGTTATGCAAAAGAGAGAATTTCATATTACAATTTTAATGTTAGCCTTAAATATACATTATATATTAAGCACAATTCCTATAACACTTTATATGTTTGTCCCTGGGCGGATACGTTCTCAAACAAGTCTGAACTGTGGTTTCAAAACATAGCCTTTTTAACCAAATACGGGAATAATGCGCTGAGTGTTTATATAACTTTACTTTTTGATCCCACTATAAAGACTATATTTTATAATATTCTAAAAAAACAGTGTTGCCCTAATGATTAAATTTTTTTTAAAGACAGCTTTATATCTGTAAGAATTTTATAACTATAAAATGTGTTTAGTATAAATATAGTTTTACTAATTATTCATAGGCATAGCAATGATAATACTAAATGGGGAACACTATTAAATGCCTTTTCTTCGTATAAGCTTTATTGGAGGGGTTTAGGTCCATTTTAGGTCTTTGAATTATACCTTAAAATAAATTCAATTTCTGAAATATTAAAACTATATTATTTTAAAAATTTACAGTATGAATAATAATTTTTACCTATTTTTTATTTTAAATTATTTACATTCTTAGAGCAGATGGAGGTGGGGAGAATTTATTGTTCGCTTAAAATAATCTTGAATTCAATTATTATATAAACAACGAATATTATTTGTCAAAAATAATATATTATATGTATGCTTTTCTTATTTATATTTAAAAATTGCGATACATAAATTACAATTAAATATAGGGTCTAATATCATTTAAAATTATTATGAATTTTTTTATACTTGTCATCATGGTAATATATATAATTGTTTTAATTATCTTAATCTTTCTTCATTATAATAAATTTAGTTTTAATAAAAATAATAATAAAAGCTGATGTTTACACAAACATACCAATACATATTTTTTTATAGTTAACTATAGCAAGCACTATTGATAGGTCAAAATACACTTTTCTGACACTACGGTCCGACGGGAATAAATATGATACTTATTACGGGTTTGTAATAAGTTTAGACCGACCCGACCAGTATTTATTTTTTACTCAGCCCATAAAATAATTCAAAACAAGCTATCGAGCGCGGGCAAACATAATTTATCTATGAAGGAAAACGAATTATACTGCATATTTATCAGCTTTAAAAACATTTTTTTAAACTTTTTTCTGGTTCATCTCATAGTAAATATTTCCCACTGGTCTAAAGGATGGCTTTTAATAGTGATGTTAAATTTTATACAATGTAAAAACGAAAATATTTGGAATTTTTTTTCTTAAACAGGTATAGTATAAATTTTTTTTAAAAAAAAATTTGATATTTAAGTTTAGATAATTGATTTAGAAAAAGGGAAATTTATATTTGAAAACATTAAATTGCTTATTTTTTTATACATTTCATTTGGGGGGGGGGGGGTTCCATTATAAACTCTTTAAATATATAGATGTTACTAGCTAAAGTAGACTATCGTCAAAAGATTCGTATTCTGATTTGACTTTTGTAGGTGTTTGGTTTTTAAATGTTCATTTTTTTCCTTTTTGGTGCGAACTATTAATTATGCTAATTAACAGATGCGAGAATTTACAATTTTAAAAATATATAAAGAATGCATAGAACCAAGGATTGATAAGAAATATATTCTGCAAATTTCTGAACCAATATTCTGACGCAGATATAAGTGAACTTTTGGATCACTAGATAGAAATGAGCTTTTCCAATATATTTTATTGAAGCAAGGACCTCATGCCAGAAATTGCCAAGTGTTATAGTGACCACGGGAACAAAATGGACGTTGTTTGTAATTGAGTATTTTTATTTCTTTTCATGTCTTCATACGAAAGAAATTTCATGAGTGTTTGGCTTGGAGAATATATCAATGAAAGTTTTTAATTTTAAGCGGAGGAAGTTCTCAGAGTCAACCCATCCGGCTTTTTGATATCTGTAAAGGGTGATACTATATTTAAATTTTATATTCAAACATTTAGATCTCACAGTATTTGGAGCAAATTTGCCGGTTTTAAAGGAAAATTGTTTTGTGAAAATTTAATCATATTATTTTTTGATTGGTAAGGATATGCAGAAATCAATCTTATATCGAAAATCGACAATTTAATTTTAAGGCCAAGATTATCCGGCTGAGAATTGAATCTTCTTTGACCGAGATATCCATTTTATAAATAACAAATTAATTTTGAAGCAAATACCAATTAATTTTAAAAATACAATAAAAATTTATTTTGACGTCATGATAGTAAGCACAATCCCCGTTTCGCTATACTAAATAGCAGAGTAACTCTTAAACTACCTCTTCCAATCTAATTGAGTTGAGAAATTTGGGGGTATCCTATGAGTAAACTCATTCACAATTTTTGGGCATGTGCATCTAAGAAGCAAAGCCACCTTCTTAAACAGAAATATGGATATAGGTAAGCCCGATTGATTATAGAGAGATTCAGTTGCTATATTAATTTTACTCATATTTAGTTATTATATATACCTCTAGCACAAAAAACCAATTAAGTTAGTTTTAGGAAAAAAAGTTATTAGTTGGATTCGAATCCAGTCCTGTCGGATTAGCAACACTTGTCGACTAGACTGAAGACACTTTCAAAAAAAAAACAATTTTTTTAAACATATTATAACTAAATGTGGCAGTGTCCCTCCAAACAAAAAATAACTTAAATAGCGATTCGTTCAACACTGCCTTTGGTAGTATAACTAATATTAAAAAAAACCCGAGCTTATAAACTGATGCAAAAAAAAATTTAGAGTTAACCAAAAATATTTCTAAAATGATCCACCTTGAATGGGAGATTTTTAAATAGTTATTAATTATTAGTTATAATATTGCCAGCTTTGCCGTCTTTTTTTTTATGGTAAAAGATAATTCTTATATATTTATTATTTCAGAAAATGGATAGTTAGTTTTCTTAATATTTGCTTAATTATTTTGGCAGCTAAAGTATTTGATATCTACCGTTTCAAGGAGATAATTTACTATTTTGTGGGAAAAATTACTAATATGAAAGAAGTCTTTATATAAGGTTAATTTATTTATTTTTTTTATTCCTCGGCTAAGTTAATAGAATTTAAATTAAACTTTTTTAAACCTCCCCAGAAAAAAGATATTTAATGTTTATATCGCTAAAACTTTAATTGGCTCAGGGATTTTCATGAGTTTCCTTAGTAAGGGTATCTATTAGATCTTCTAATAACTATATTGATATTAAGTATATATCAATAAATAACCTTTCTAAAATATAATTATATTATATATAAATTGCAATTTTTTTGATTGTTGAATTATCCCCTAATGAAGTAACGTTTACAGCACTAGTATTTAGTGTTGTTAAAAAAAAACCCCATTTAAAATCGATTTTCAAAACAGCCCCGATAAAGATTTTAGACAAAATAATATGTAAACCTCAAAATTTATCAAATAGATGTCAAGCCCTTCTACCAATCTCCAGGGCTTACATAGTATTATTTCGGTTATAACCGTAATCGAAACTTTTTTAAAAATCAACCCGGATTTGGATTGGCTCGGCTAACTCAACATTATAGCCAAAAAAAATATTGCCTAGGCATCGAGATCTTGCCAACAGATGTTCAATACTATGTGCCATCTATGAGCAAAATCTTTAGGCTTGCATAATATTATTCTGGATAAAATATTGAGTTAGCCGTTTTTAAAAATAGGCATAAATTGAGCCGTTTAACAACACTATTAATATATTAAAAAAAATTTTTAATATATTTTTGTTTCCTTTGTTTTTTTTTTCCTCGATCTCAAAATTTTTTGCATCTCTTACAGTATCACAAATGAACATTACAAATTTATTTTATTTAACGTAGGCTAAATTAAAAAGGCATATTTTTTTTTGGTTAATGATGCTTACTACCTTAAGGTGGTATTACCTATCAAATATGTATTTTGTTCATTTTTTCGTTTGGATAGGCATTACCAAATTTATTTATTTATAATATATATTTGAAAAATCTTGATTTTCGGAATGGCTCTGTGGCCTAGTCGGCAAAAGCGTCGCTTATCAATCCGATGGTTATGGGTTCGAATCCCGGCAGTGATCATGTTTCTTTTTCTTAATCAAACTTGGTGGTTCTCTCCTTGAGGGGATGATATAAAGGAAGCTTGAAAAGGAAGCTTGACTCGATCACGTGATTCCCTTATAATATATTAAATAATATGGGTCTTATTATATTTTAATAAATTTTGGTCGGTATTTAGGAAATTTGATTTGGTATTTATTAAATTGCTATACGTTGACTTGGTAGTAAGCATAATTAACCTATTTTTTTTTTAGTTCTGTATCCAAAATTATACCGTATAATATTTAATAAATATTTTAGAAGGATTTATTCTATATTATACGAAGGATGTAATAATAATTTAAATTAAAAAAATGCAAAATAGAAATTATCAAATAATTAACATTAATATACGCTAAAATAGGACTATATAAGATACCCCAAAAATTTTGGGTTAAATTTTCTCAATTTTTTGGGGGTAAATTTTGACTTGGATTTTTTGCCTATGGCTAGGTAAATTGAGTTTTTTGAACTGCAGCCCTGCATTCATATCGCCCTCACCTAATTTAATAGTATTTATATATACAGATATTTTTTACTATATCTATTACGCTAATATAGATATAGATGATTCTAATAATTGCTAATAACTTTTGTAATATATATTTAAACGTTGAGTGATGACATATGATTCTTAAACTTTTTCCAAAATATTAAAAGAGGGTTTTATATAACTTTTAATATAATTTCTATTTTATTAAGGAAAAAATATTTAACATTCATTTATTTGCTATAAAACTCGAAATCAAAATTGTGAGGGAAAAAAATAATTTTTTATTTTGACCTTCAAGAACACATTTTTCTATAAAATTATTTTAAAATAATCGAATTTTAAAATTTTTGCCAACACCAAAGATATAAATATTATTAGAATCTTATTCTGAATTAAAATTTCAAAATCAAAACTTTACAGAAATAAAATTGGCTCATCGCATCTACTAGCCACGATTTTCTAACTCACAGAATAATAATTTTAGTTATTTTGTCCTTGATCTGCCTACATAAAACTATTCCCACACAATAATATTAATTGTAAATGGCAAGATAACAGCATTGTTCTCAAACTCGAAATATATTAGCCATTGTCATTTTTTATAATTTTCTAAAAGAAAAGAACAAATTATTCAAACACAATTATAATAATTAACAATGGTTAAAAAAGTTCTTGAAAAGCTTTTATTATTTTATTTTATTTTTTATTTTTTTTAAAAAATATTTATATATCTTAAAATATGGAATTTACTGTTAAATTATGTTTTGGACTTGTATTAGTTTTATTCAATTCTAATAGGCAAGTTTAATAAATCGATTTTTTTTTATACATATATTTAAAGCATTTTTAATCGAGTTTATTTTTATATTTTTCTTTGATAATTATATAGGAAAATATTACCAAAATCAACTAAGTTAAAACTTTGTAATATTTTCCCCTATTTGCTATTTGTGGCATAATTACTGAAATAATATTTTTTATATCTCCATTATATATTATTATATTATATATGTGAAAAATAGTTAAATTTGCAGATAGATTTAGCGTCAATATGTTTTTTTCCGGCAATGTGTCATTTTTTTTAACTTTAAATCAATTTTTTAGCACGTTTCAATAAAAGGAATTGTGATAGGGTGAAGTCAAATAAATAATCATCTAACCCTAAATAAGTTCCAAAATTTATTTGAATCTTATTTTTTGTGGAAAACTGTATTAGTTAAACGAGATATATAAATAAATTCATTTCAAATATTATATAACTTACAACAATCATATTAATATAGGTTATTCGAGAATAAAAATGTCTGAAATTGCGATTTTATATTTTAAAAAAATCTATCATATTATTCTCAGGTCTTTCGTATCTCTCTTGTAATATTTGAGAAATTCATTCTTTATGATTAGTGTTATATCGAGGACATTGATTTAGCCGAATTAAGCAAAATCTAAGAATTTAGCCAAAATAAATATTTAATGAAAGCTTATATAACGAGAAAATCGATTGCACATCAAAGAAAGGTCTCTTTTACTAAATTTTAAAGAAGCTTTGCTTTTGGGCAAAAATACTGATCATTTGTAAATAATTTGTAGAAAACTCTCCGATATTAATATTCAGCTTTGATATTATTATAGAAACTTGAAAGATCTAATTGTTAGACACTACTTAACCACCATTTTTAGAATACTGTAAGTCGGGTACGGGTTTTATTTTTTAAATTTAATTATCTTAAAATAATTTTGGCTTTTATTTCTTAAGTATTTTGATTGGTTAAATTTATAATGTTCAAACGGAAAGTTCTCGGCTTAATGAAATCCGATTGATCAGCTGTCTTCGTCAAACCAAAAACAAAATTTTGAAAAATGGTCCGATCCCGACTTATAATCGATACTTTTTAAAAAATTAATCGAATTAGAAAATAAAAATTTTTTATGCTTTAAAAAAAAAAAAATTCGACGTAAAAAGACTTGTAGATGCTCTCTCTTGTCCTTGTCACAATCTTCCGACTAAATGTTCAACGCCTATACCCACGGATTGTAAAGGCGACATAACTAAGGACGCTTGTGGATGCTGCGATGTTTGCGCAAAGGTATATTGAAATAATTAAACTGCATTCAATTCCTGAAGAATTTTTTTAAAAATTTTATATTCCAACATAATCTAAATTATGTAGAAGAATGTAGGATGTAGAATATTTACTTCGTATAAGAAAATATTATGATTACACACTTATTTAATGAATATCCTTAGGTGAAAGATGAAGAGTGTGGGGGGCCATTTCGAACATCGGGCAAATGTTCTAGTGGATTCATATGTAAATACGAAAGCTACACTGAGCCGCTTCAATCAAAGGGGATATGCATTACAGAATACCCAAGAGTTATTTTCAATTGTTTCTTTTAATACTTTACCAACTATATCTATTTTGTAAGAAAAACCTGAATTTTGTGAAACACAAACTAACAAATTAAATATATATTTGTTGTTTTTTTAAGGTTCAGGCGTGGGGACAGGATATCATTATTAGGTAGAGATAGGAAAAGAAAATAATTATCCAAAACTTGAGCATGTTAACCAAAAGTTGATAAGAATAAATGTATGATGAGATGTTTTTTTAAACATTATTTTGATTTATATTATAAATTTGAACCGTGGCTTGAGCCTGAAAGTTTGTTTATTCTTAGACTCCTTATCAAAAATAATCGGTTTCTTAGGAACTTCTAATCTTTACGCTCATAACTTTCAAAATTAATAATTAAAGCACCAATTCCTAAGTAAGCTAAATTTTTCTTATAATAATATTTTAAAAAAATAAATTATTATTACTAGGAGGAAGGAGAGCCATGCGGTGAAGTTTGGACACAAGGCCAATGCAAACAAGGATTCATATGTCAGCAGCCGGATGAGTACAGCCTAGGGATATGCGTCAAAGATTTATTTTCTCAAAAAAGAATAAGAGAATAAATAAAAGAAATTTTTTATTTAAAAATTATAAAATATAATTACATTATTCAAATAATAGTGCTTAATATCATTCACAAGCTTTCAGTAAATATTGTATAAAACTATTTCAACAATCTTATACAGTTTTCTGGATTCCTATTTTATGGTTGTATATAATTCTAGGTTGTATAGGTTTTGCTAATTAGAAACGGTTACTATAAATATTATGTTATTGCCAGGTATAATGTACTTTTGTTTCTCTCAAATATTCTTAATCGCTAAATGAGAATTTTATAACATTTTATGCCTATATCATATTAATGGTGATCATAACAAAGACATATCAATAAACCAGTAATAAATTCTTGAAGTGAAGATATCCTTTTGGGGTTTTATAATTTAGTCCTATGGCAAACAAATGAATCATTTTATAAAAGAAATTTTATATTATGACTTCTAGCAGCATAAATTTAAGCATAATCTACTATCCTCTACACTTGTATGTGATGGAACAGCGTTACCTATAATATTTTATTAGCCAAAGATTTATCCTTTCCCCAATCTTTGTATCACCATTATTATATTATATCTATGTAAAGTAGTGGATGTAATCGTTACTTCAAAAAAAAAAACTCGTTACGTCTGGAAAAAAGGAACGCGTGTTAAGGCTATTCAAAAATGTAACGGGTTACTCACTACTTAAAAAAATTAAATATTATATACAACAAAAAAAAATTCCCCTATATTTATAATACAAGCATATGCAAAAAAACAATATATTATAAGATAAGATATTTTTGTAATAATTTTTTATTTATTTTTAAACAACAACTGACTTTTAAAATTTTGATCAGATAAACAAGAGTGCTTAATGCTAACACATCTTTCGCTAAATTCAATTGAAATAAAATATTATCAAAATATAAATTGTAAACATAAAATTTAAAAAATACATAATAGTAATTTTATAATACAATAAAATATGTTTATATTTTTTTAAGAAAAATTTGAAGTAACGTTTTGCGTTACCGTTGCCTCTGGAAGGTAACGAATGGTGTTCCTTTGCTCAAAGAAGGTAACCACTTTAATTTTTAGCCTTACTTTGCAGCTATGATTTAAATGTATCTGTCTCTACGACTTGGTGTCTTTAAGATTATATAGTTAGCACAAAAAGGTGATTGTTTTATAATCTTTATTTATATTAGATATATCTATATTTCCAAAATCCGTACAAATTTATAAAAAAAATTTTTTAGAAATTCGAGTTAGAGCAGTTTTTTATATTAGACTGTTAATGTACGATATTTCAACGATATCGGAAATATTTTGAGAGTTGAAAAATAATAAACCTATATTTATTATCATTATTCTTTGTTATAGATTAAGATGAAAGTGTGTGTTGATATTGTTATATATAAAAGGTATTTTAGTTTTATGCCTTACGATTTATATTATCACTTAAGTTATTTTATTTCCGTTTTACCTAACTTGATGACCGATTAACAAATATATATACATATATAGATAACATTTTATAATAGAACATTCATTTTGTTCATTTTTCGACGATTTGATGATGGAAATTATTATGATGCATTATATATGATATACATTCATCCACTTTTCACATATGTTGTTGTCACGTTATAAATAAATATATACAGAAAACAATTTCGACTCCAACTTATTAGTTCAGAACTCTCAAATATTAGCAGATATTTTTTTTAAATTAGAACGGATGATAACATGTGAGAGATAAATAATAATGATAATTCTTCACCAATATATTTTATATAAAACATTTTATTTAATTTTTTGAAAACCGAATAATCCAATAGAATCATACCTATGAATTACAAAAATAAAATAATGTCCAAAATGAGTATCCAAATATTTTCAAGGTTTAAAAAGATTAAAATCTTTGAAAATGGAAAATGTAAACAATAATTGAGAACTCAATAACTTGAAAATAAATATAATGAAAACAGAAGTTATTTTTAAAATTAAATTACAGAATATATATCTTAGAGGCAAAAATTAATAATAAAATTTTGTAAAATAAATTACGAGGTTAACCATAAAAAACAAGGCGAAAAATATAAAATCTTACAAACATGAGTAAATGATATCGATACCTGTCACTCGTAGAGTGGCAGATACAAGATTCTTAGAGAAAAAAAAATTATATTCTTAGGAACATCTGGAAAACGTGAATAATTTAAAATTTTGAACCCAGTTTGGGAGTTCTGGTCCGAAATTTTTTTTACTTCATATGTCCGACTTACCCGTGTTAGGTCGAATAAGATTCAGATCGGTCAATGCGAGGTTCTAATTTATAAAGAGGCCACCACATCTCACTAAAGTAGGTACAAATATATTTATATAATATGAAACCTATTACTATCGAAAGGATGCAGTGCCAAAGTATATCCTTATTTTACTTATTTTGTAGTATTTTATAATTGGCCATTTAAAACAGAGGAATGAACCAATCACAAATGAAGAGAAATCGTGAAATAAATTATAATAATATAATTTATGAAACAATATATTAATACTTAGAAAAAAAAAGATAAATTTTTTTTTAAGAAACATATTTTATTTTTATTCTATATAAAAATATCGAAATGGTAATTAGTTTTCAATAGTCATCAAATCCATATATATTAACTATTATCAGAATCAGTATGTTGTAGTGAAAAAAAATTTTCAATCAGTCTAAATTTAAACCTATTTCTAAAGGTGCTGAAAAATCTTAGATCCTGATAAAATATACAGATAAAAAGCTAGATTTCGGCTGAGCACTAATTTAGTTTTTGCTAAAGAACAATATAATATAAAGGACATCTTGACCGCCGATATTTTGAAACGTTATGACATTGATTTATTTTTCGGGGGGAGTTTTTAATAAAGAAAAATAAAATTTATTTTTCATTTAAAAATCTCCATATTTTTTTTACACATTTTACCAAAATTCTGGAAAATTTATGACTGCATAAACGGATTAAAAATTCTGATTTAAATTTTTAATGATCCGGAACTAGTTTGATGAAAAATATCTATCTTCCAATTTCCAGCTCAAATTATTCTTTTGTCTTTAAGAATTTAAATGTGTATTTTTTTTTAAATATCTCTTTAAAAAAAATATTTTAATTTCTTATCAGGTCCTATTGTTTTAGATTTAGTCTTGAAATAAATAGAAGATTCAAGCCAAATAATCTTATTTATATATTATAATAGTATATTTATATATATATATAAATAATATTTATATAATCTAACTTTCATCTTTTTTTTAAGTTAATTTATTTTAAAATTTTAATGATTTTCTTATATAAATAATTAAATTCGAGCAGAAACTTTTCTAAAGAGATGATCTACAAATATTTAGTCCTTTTCCTATTAGGTAAACAAAAAATAAAATATCAAATATTTTTATGAAATAAAAATTTTTTCTTTATAATTTTTTTTTTTAAAGTTGGGTATGTTGCGAGCAATATGTTCGAGGACACTAATGCTCCAGTGTTATTAGAAGTTGTTAATGCTAATTGGAAAGTCGCGATCGATATGTACAAGTAATAAAACACAAATTGAATATTTATTTTGTTACACACAAATAAATTTAGTGTTGCTAAAAAGGCTCTATTTGAACCAATATTAAGCAAGCCTGAAGATTTTGGCCCTAGATAGCGCAAAGGTATATACATCTATTAAAGAAACCTAGTGGCTTAGAGCAATATTTTTCTAGCTAAAATATTGAGTTAGCCGTTTATAAATATAGGCTCAAATTGAGCCGTTTAACAACACTACAAATAATATTCTTAAAGGGCGATTTCCTTAAAAAAATATTATTATATTATAAAGAACTATAATTTCTTATTTTTCTCTTTGAATAATTTTAAACTCTTAGAAAGGCAATATGATTTTATAGCATAAATTTATTTCATTTTTGCTATTGATCCTTTTATTATACTAAAATAACTAAGGTAACATAACTAATTTATTTTTTCAAAAAAAATGGAAAATAAAAGGCAATTATTGAAAAGCGATCCCAGAGAGGGTTTATTTTTTTCTCCTTATTCCATCACCTTGAATCTACTAGGCCTGCATATGGGTGCCAATGGAGGCACGGCTAACGCTATTAGAAGTACACTGGGTTTGGCTGCAGTTACAAAAGATCATATAAATTCCCAATCCTTGATTTACATCGATGTCGTTTTCCAAAAAAATTACGAACTTTTATCTTCCAAATTTTTTTATTTCGACGATTCGATAAAGCTGCTAAAGCCTTACACGGATGGCGTACGAGTATTTTTTCTGCAAGCCGTTAATATAGAATTTTCAGACACCGTAGCGGCTGCCGCCAAAATAAACCAAAATGTGAGTAAAGATACAAATGGTAAAATGTCCCACCATATACCGGATGGCTTGCTTACGTCCGATACTAAATTTTTGATCAGCAGCGCTCTTGATTTTAAAGTTTCATTTTTTTTAAAAATAATTTAGTTTTGACGAATTCACTTTCCTTTGATGATAGTTTAAAATAAATATATTTTATACTAATAATTTATTGCGTATCTTTTCAGTTCCTATCTTACACTTCTATCGCATAAATTTATGAACATCTGATTAATTTAAAGGATAAATAAATCATTAATCTGATCATATTAAATTTTCAGGGTAAATGGGAGGTACAATTTGATTCCGTTACCCAAGGTCAGTTTAAGACTGTAGACGGAGAGTTTAAACCTCAAACGTATATGGAAAAGACCGGTGTATTTAAAATAGGTTCCATCCCGAATTTATCCCTCAGAATATTGGAAGTGCCTTATTTTAACAATACTCTCGCTAAATATATATTCTTACCTAATTGCCGCGTCGGTCTAACGGCCTTCGAAACCTCTCGCTTAGATACGACAACCTTAAAAGACTTAATCGCTGCCCTAAAACCTATGAACGCTAGGATCTCAATACCCAGGTTCGACGCTTCATCTCACGACCAACTCAGATCGGATTTTGAGGACATTGGTCTGGCCAATCTATTTACACCGGGTAATAATTTATTGTATTGTAAAGTTAAATAAATTTCGAGATCATCATATTAATAAAAAAGAAAAAATTCGTCATTATTTTACATTATCAATTTTTATGTGCAATATTTTTCCCGTTTTTTTAAAGGATTCGAAATTTAAATCATTAAAGAAAAACTAAAAATATAATAAAATCTTTTTTTAGGGGAGGCCGATTTTTCGGGAATAGATTCAAATGCTATAGCCGGTAAATTGGCCCTAAATTATTATGTCCAACAAGCTAGTGTAAGTTTCGGGGTGGAGGGAGCGAATTCCCCGTCTAAAGAAACTCCTGTAAACCCTGGAACCACTGAAGAATTCAAAGCAGATCATTCATTTCTTTACGTCATTATTGGTAAAAAGAAAAACGTTCCCTTCTTTATTGGCAGGTACAATGGATAAAATAATCTGACAAAGCAACCTGATCTTATAATTCAAAGGAATATGGGTGTCATCTTACCACCAATGCAAATTACAATTATTTTTTTTTTTTAATTTTTTTATTAGATAAATATAATATATTTTTAAATACCCATGTAGACATAAATTAATAACAAATAAAACCCAATAAAAAAAAGAGTTTATTTTTACATTTTATTCAAATATTCTATTTTTCGATTAATTTATTTTTAATTTTAAACAATATAAAAACGGAATAAAATTATATAATTAAAATGTTTTATTCTAGTTTTGTTTCTAAGTTAAAATTAATAACTTCTTAAGATATTTATATTTAAGAACACTTTTAACCAGAAAAGGAACTTTGAGAAAAATGGAGTTATGGTAACGGTTAGAACTTTTTTGAAACAGCCTAACGTTTTAAAACTTAGGAAAATTATAAAAAATAGAGAAGTCATAAACGTGATTATACTCGTGCTATTGTTTTATCTTAATACGATTTTGATTTTTTAATATATTTTTCATTCGATGATATCCATTAAATATCATTGTATATAAAAAATTATTATTTCTTTAATTTCAGGTGTCTCGGGAAGTTACATATCTGTATATTTGTATTATAATGCAGTCTGAAATTATATTGTTCTAACCAAGCAGTGGCGTATCCAAGATTTTCTTATGGGGGGAGGGGAAATTTTTGGGATCTGGCCTTCGGCCAGCTTTCCCCCGGCCTTCGGCCAGGTCTTATGTTTTAGCTATTATTCATAATTTAATAATAATTATATTTCTATTTGTAACTATTATTTACTAATTCGTGCTGATGGTTATTTCAAGCCTATTTTTTATTATTTTTAGTTAGGTATATTATATTTAATAAAGTTTTTTTAAATGTAAAGTTGAAATAAAGTTTAATGTCATTTTTTTTTATAAAATTTGCTTTAAAAACTAGCCTCAGCTTAAACATACAATATAAGTATAATATAATTTTTTTATTTAAAATACTAATAGTAGTGTGTATAAAATATTAATGTTGTTAAACGGCTCGTTTTGAGCTGATTTTTAAAAACGACAAACTCAATATTTTCACCAGAAAAATATTAACTAAACCTCGAAATTCGATACTATATGTCTAGACCTTTGCTCCTTCTATGAACAAAATTTTCAGGCTTGCATTATATTTTTCTGGATAAATAACTGAGTTAGCCGTTTTTAGGCGTTTAACAACACTATAAAATATTGACTAGAAAATAATTAAAAAAACAAGTTTTTTTAAACTTCTTATCAAATGCAATATTATACAATTTTTTTTCTTAAATACTATAATTATAATGCGATTATTTTTGTGGGAATGTTGCCAATTCATCAAGAATTTTGTTTGTCTTTGGAACCAAATCTCTGTTGATATTTAACAGAGCTAACCCATTTAGCCGAGATTCATAATTAGTACTTCATAAATATGTTTTCAACCTTCTTAAGTTGGAAAGTCCTTTCATTCGTACATGTTATAATAGGCAAACATGGTAGGATATAAAACAACTTCAATTAGGAATTTGAGCCAAGGTTTCTTTACACCGATTGAACGCATCAATAGCATGCTCAGGTAAAATAGCTAAACGTATTAAATATTTATCACAATTCGAATTCACTGATTAAATTTATTTCAGTATCAATATCATAGGAATAAAATTTTGTTAAATATTTAATTTTGCCAATAGTGGCATTAGAAAACGAAGATGGATCTTTGGGTATTAAAACTTGAAGATTGCTAAGTACTTTTATTTGCTATAAAAAAGTATCTAAGAATGGGATGAAAGTGGATATTTTATAATATTCTTCAGTTGAGCCAATATTTATTTTACATCCCAATAATTGCCCAGGTGCTAGACGAGGTTTAATTAGTGTTATATCATACTTCGATTCAACGTCTATATAAATATTATGAAAATATTCATTTACATTCATTCTTATTGTATCTACCTGTTCATATATATTTTCCGCCTAATCAATAACCTGAACCAAATCTAAATTTGGTTTTTGTAAATTTCTACAAAGTAGTGAGCTATAGGAAAATAATTTAATGATGCAACTAGCAGCAATGATAAACTCTGATTGATCAATTGAATTCAATAATGATATCGCTTCTGATGACACATTACTTTTTTTCATGCTCAGCCTTAATTAACTTTTGTATTTTTATTTCTCCTGTTCTACAAAATCGAAGTAAAAATAAAATATTTAAAAAATTATAGATATTTATTAATAATTAATATTAAAAATACTTATTAATTCTAACTTACTAATATTTTTGAATTTAAATAATAATAAAATAAATTACCATTTGATTTCAATCTCTTTGAACTTAAAATTTTTCCATTTTATTAATATTTTTGAATAATGTTAATGTACTCACAAGGAAAGTAAATTTTAATAAAATTTATTTATAAAAAATAAGTGTTATGTTGGAAAATTGATATTCAAATATTAGTAAAATTTTGATTGGGGGGGGGGGGGGGAGGGAGTGGAGGGTAAAATTTTTATTAGCTTAAAATGATATTTATAAAAACAGTCAAATTTGCGATGGGGGGGGGGAATTTCCCCCTTTCCCCCCCATTGGATACGCGCCTGTAACCCAGCATTTAATTAGAAATATAAGACTAAAGATATCAAAGACAGTGTCTAAATGGACTTGGAACAAGGAAGGAACAATTTACCTCCATATTTTTTAAAAATTAGGTAAACGTAAACTTTAAAGAGAGTTTATGAGATAGGTTTTTTTTTTATCATAGTAGAGCATAGATTATATCAAAAAATCAAAGCCTTTGATAGTCATAGGGATATAAAATCGCTATTATTTTTTACACCTTTATCTAAATTATTTGTAATTAAAAATTTATATTACTTTTTTTTATAATTTTGAATTAATGAAAATTAATAAATAATAGATTTTATGCTTGTGGGACTTGGTAAGGAGTATGGAAGGGATTGTGAGATTATATAGTTACTAATGAAAGAAAGAAAGAAAGAAAGAAAGAAAGAAAGAAAGAAAGAAAGAAAGAAAGAAAGAAAGAAAGAAAGAAAGGGAAAATATTTTCTATATTTGCGATTTAAAATATTGTTAAAATTAACATATTTATTTGTATATTCTTATCAATTGTTACAAGTTAAATAATTTTATTTACAACCGAATAAAAATATGGAAATGTTTTAAATTAAATCTAATTAGTATTAATTTAATATTAATATATTGCTAACATCAATTTTATTATATATATTTTTATATAAAATAATATAATAATTAATTAAAAAGTAATATAAATTGAATTACTACTTAATTTCTTAAAAAAAGGAAGGTGGTATAAAAACATATCTTTCCCAAAATTTTAGTAAATATTTTAAAAAAAACTAAATTTCACTTAGTCTTGCAATTTAAAAAATATTTATATAATATATTTTTAAAAAATGCACAACATATATTGATCTTAGAAATAATTATCTTGTGGGATGAGGCAACCCATGAAGCTAATGTAATTAGTCTTGTGAATAGCTATGGCGTTTGTCTCAAGAAAAACCCATAGCGAAGGCTCATCCATAAGTTGAATGTGAGAGCGAAGTTACTTTAAAACGGATATCCCATAACTTAATATTTATTTTTGATATTGTTCGTTTAGGCAGTAATACATTGATTTTCATCGATGACAGAATGTTTTCTCTTTCCTTCCATTTACTAATCTAAATTAATTTATTTCCCTACTTGAGTTAATTACATATGATGTCTTTTAGAAATATTAAATAATAATTTATTTAAAAAAATTTAAAAGAAATTTAAAATCTAACGCGCTATCTTTAAACGATTGAGCTTAATTGATTTTTCAGTTAAATGCAAACCTTCTCTGAAGTCTTAAAGATAGATTAGACAATTCAAATAGAACATCATACGCCAAGGTAAAATCCGTAATCTATTCGAGTGAAAGCCCATTAAATTTTGAACTGTTGTTAGATTCAGCAAATAGGTATAAAAGTCCTCACAATTATTCCAAACTGCCTTTACACTATGAAGATTGATAGATACATCTTAGGTTATCCTTCCAATGTTCAGATATTTGAATGCTCAATTGAGATGCTATTTTATTCAACGCCTTTTGATTTTTGTTATATAGTTATAATGAAATCTTTAAACGTGATAATTCAGTTACATTTACACATTTTATAGCATCGTAGCACCATCTTTATTCCTGAACAGTATTTAAACAGTGTTAGTATATTATAATTGTATTCACAAAGACGTGTTGCACATCAGATTTTTTCCCAGACACGACACTGGTGCCATAGCTATTCTTAGGAATAAATCTAGAAAACCCAGCCGATCGAATTTCAATCGAATTCAAACTGGGATCGGTCCTTGTAAGGGCTTGAATATATATTAATAAATAGATTTCTTTTTCTTTCATAATCTTATTAAAATTTATCAAATATTAGTTTAATAAAAAAATAACAAATAAAAAAATTACCATGGATTCAATAAAAAAAAGTGTGTTAATATATATTATAAATATTTCCTCCTTGTCATTCGCTTTTACATTTCAGAAGGTATGTTAACAAGTATGGTTTACCCCAAGGAATACATCCAAAGGGCCTCCAATTTTCTAATCCGATGAAATATAATAAAGGGGTTTTTTTTAAAAAATAAGTTTTAAGATTATTTATTTATTTTTTTAAAGGAAATACTGATTGAACCTATTTAGATAACCATTTGCCCTACTAGCCATAATAAATATGAGATTAAAATGAAAAACTGGGTTTGAAATTAGCCAATTCAAAAAATGCACGAACACCTTACCATATTTTATAATTTTTTATCTATAAGCTAATCAATTAAATTTACTAAAATTGGTTTATTTCATATCAGCAATTGATTAATCATACATATTACACAACCCTTTTTAACTTAAAATCATTTTTCTTTTTATGTGTTCAACAGAAATTTAATTAAAATAGTTACTAGCCTTGAATTTTTTTTTTCCATATCCAAATAAATAAGTGTAATTAAAAACAAGTTGGCATATAGAGTTTTTAATGGCACAAGGTAAATTTATTTATAGTGAACATCATAAATTAATTGTTTCTAAAACATAATATAAAAATATCCAATTATATTTATTTCCTGTAAATTCAATTCATTTATATACCTTC